TTAGGTAGCAGCAAATGTAGAGGCAGTCAGTCTCTGTTCAGGGCACCGATACCTGAACTTCTGGGCCTCATTTATTTTCCCTCCTCCTTCATATATTCTTTATATAAAGAGTAACGTAAGTGAACATGAACTATGTCCTTGGGAAAATATGAAGTCTGAAAATTGTGGCAAATAAAGGTGAAACTGCATGCCCCCTCAAAAATAAGAGCTTTAGAGTCTAAGTCTGATGTGGTCTGTTACACAAATGGTAGATTTAGTGCCTTTCTTTTGATTTGATAAAATGTAAAAACAAGTATTTAAACATGGAATGTGTGTCAAGCTCCATGCTTGGCACTACAAACACAAAACTAAATAAGATACTTGCCTGTCTTTGAAGGGCTCAAAACATGTCAAAGAAATTTCAGTGCAACATAGTAAAAAATAAAACAAGTGTAAACAAAGTGCTCTAAAAGCACAAATGACAGAACTAATTCTGTCCAGAAGAATCAGGAAGACATCAAAATAAGAGTATTTCAGTAGGCTTGTTTTGGCTTTCTAAAAAACTGGCTATTGGTAAAGCTATCTGAATCATGTACAGTAAGAATTAAGATACAACCTTATTTATCAATTATTACTTTAAGACGATCAGATACTAATCAACTTACAAGTAAGTTTGGGCACATAACCAAGCCTCAAATACAACAAAAATCCTTCCAGCAGAGTTAATAAATGAGTAATTTAATTACCAGCAGTATGCTTCCTTGGTGTAGTCCGAACGGAGTATTCAAAGTCAGGTACTGCTCTGCTACTCAAGTGTAGGTGGTAGTTTCTTGCTTCATCCAGTAAGTCTCTACATTTTAGATTTTGCTTGACAATCTGTTCTTTTGCCACAACACCCATAAGAAAATCAACTGGCAACAGCGGCAAACGAACCTAAGATCATGAATAGTTGGCAGATATCAACTTTTAAGTTGTAACTGGATAGTTCATTCTCTTTCACCGCAGTGTATTCTCTTTTTAAAACTCATTTATTATACTTCATAAACCTTTAAAGTTCAACGTGCCAAGTTCTAAAGCAATTTCCAGGAATGGTCTGCACTCCTGAAATCAGATTACATGTTAAATATAGCCTCCCCTTTTACATACAGATTTAAGTAGGCTGGATTAAATAATTCAATTGTCTTCAAGTTTCTTACTCAGTTCTAAAAGTGGTTACTGTCATAATCACTAGGCTCCTTGCTGATAAAAACCAGGCACAATCAAAACAAAACTGCTGTGCTTTGTTCTTTTGCACTTTAAAACTAAGACTGAACATGTGGAAATGTGATTTATTTCTTACATCAACATGTAAATATTCAGATGTGAAGCAAACAGGTGTTGTTTTCTTCAGATCAATTACCTTGGCAGGTTATATACTAACTCAAGTAGAGGCACTTGTTTCAGTGCAGGCACCATTTCTCTCTTAAAGGTACACTGATTTTCTAGTGGATTAAAGGGATGATCAAACCAGGTCATACGATTTTGAGTTAAACGCATGCGTACACACACACACACACACACACACACACAAATAAGATATAGCTGCAAGATAATGAAATTTTGTTGACAAACTTATTTTCAAAGTAATTCTAAGGCCTATTTATTATCTCCCTATCCAAGTAACACCTGTTGACAGTAAGAATAAAAATTAAAAAGAGACACATTTCTGAGAATTTAAAAAGCAAAACTGTGGTGAGGGAAGAAAATGGAAAGTGATGTCTTGTAGTTCTTTTCAGAATAAATCTACATGCGTTAGGAATGAATATACCTTTACTAAAGTAAAGTAATTCAGTAAAATTTAGAAACTTCACTAAAAAACAATGCCATAAATCAATTTTGAGGTGTTTCCTCAGAATCATTTTCTACTAGCAATAAATAAAATATTCATTACTACTATCTCAAAAGGATATTTTAAATATTCAGGTTAAAAAGCAGAGAATATTTCTAATGCAAATGTAACACATTCAGATTTATCCTGAACTAGCACAGTGAGTAAACAGAAAAGAGTCAAAGCAATTTTCACATTGTATTACATCAACTGATAATTTACACTGTCCATGATAAGTGAAACATGTTGATTTGCTTCCATATCATTCATTTCTATCCACAATCTTATTTCAGCCCCTACCTACCTGTGCAAGTGTTTCATCCAACCATTTGGAATGATGCTGGGGATTGGCAAGTAGCCACTTGATGGCTGCGTTATAGACCTGCGTTTCATTCTCAATACTGAGATCACTGGAGGACAACAGCTTATGGAGATGCTGGGGTGACACACTGACGAAGTCTTCACACTCCACCACTTCAGTAAAATGCTCACAGGCATACTGATCTGCCATGTCCATTAAGTCTATTCGATTGTGGCTTTCTGCAAAGGCTCTTACTGCCAGGCAGTTGGAGGGATGAAAATGTAATTTCATGTATTCACAACAAGCTCGAGCCACCAGTTCAACCTGCAGAATGCAGGCCGCATATAAGACAGGTTGGACGTTGTCAACAGTCAAAGTGAGCCGTGAAGAATAGACAAATTTTACCAGGTCTTCTATTGCATCACCATCGAAATCTCTGATCTCAATCACTGTTTGCTTAGCTTCAGCCATTTCAGAGAGAAACATGGCTCTGAAGTAGGGAATAACACAAGCCAGTACCAGTTTGTGACAAGAGATTAACTTTGAGCCAACCTGTTCAAAACAAAGAGAGACTCAGTTTAATATCAAAATTAGGTTTAGATCAGCATTCAGCATGTGTTATAGCGGGGGCAAAAATTCCAGACAAATTTAGTGTGTTTGTTTTAACAGTACTATAAAATAGAGTTCTATGATTTCCAGGTAAACATTATTTTAACACTGACTTCGCATCCTAGCTGTACAAATCAATGGCCCACAAGTTATATTTACGTTGTTTATAATAAGGTTCTGTCCCCTCTCTAATTCTAACTTAATTTCTTAATCCAAATAAACCAAAATATGGATATTTCACACACACACACACACAGACACACACACACACACACACACACACACACACACTCTCAGAGTCACCACCCCTATGTACCTTTTAGAATAAATACCCATCATAACTTTAAAGAGAGCTTTGGAGCCACATGCATGAAACAGGAACATCAAAAATTTTGGCTTTTTAATTCATTAATTATCCTTTGATACTATATAGTCTCATTATATTCTGAGAAGTTTATTTCTACATTTTTCTTTTCTGGTACGTATAAAACAGTTCATCAGAAATTTAGAAATGAAAGACATCAAAGTCTGAAAGATTAAATGTTTAAAATTGGGTGAAAACTACACAGACTACAAAATATGGACATTACTATACAATTTACATTAATATAAGTAAATACTACAGATTAGTGAACACGTGAATAATTCAAGATGCTCCAGGAGAAAAAAAACATGTCAAGCTTAAACTTTAGTGAAATATGTAGCATATCAACATTAATAAAACAATGCCTTATTTAAAAAAAAAAAAGCTTGAAATACAAACTGGTAATTAAAATATTGAGTAATTTTCCATGGATTAGCCAATAGGGATCAAAATACAATGAAACAAAGGCTTTTCTACTGGTAAAGCACTTCACTTTGAACACGAGCAGAAGGAGAATGGGGAGAAGCCAAGCATCTTAACTTTTAATTTAGGTCCAACTAGAAAAACTGTATACATGCAATGTAGAGCTCTGTTTGAAAACAATAAATGATTGGCTGAATAATAAGGTAAAATGAACTAGAAATGATATATAAAGAACATTAACTAAATGAAGAACATAAAAAATTCCATGAACTATGAGATTTGACCTACAAAATGAACCTATCTTACATTAAAGGTCACTTACTTTTCAAGTATTCTCCCTCCCTCCCCTTGAGGACAACACATATTCAATGTGTAAAATCGAGAAAGCACAGAAAAATGTAAGGGAAAAACTTCATTCACAATACAATAAATACTGTCAATCCTTTGGTATATTTCCTTCCAACTTTTTATGCATTTCTATGCATAACTGAGATTGTCCTGAACTTCGTTTCCTAAATTTTCCTTTTCCTAATATTCTGAAAACTATTGTAACCTCATGCTTATTAGCTGTATGCTATTCTCTACAGTGGGTGTTAACAGTTTATTGAACCATTCTGATATCAGTCATTTAGATAACTTTTTCATATTTTAAATTGAAACAGTATTTTAAAATTTCTTTCAGCATTTCAGAATATTTCCTTGAGATATAATCTGAAAAGCAGAATTAATGAATCTAAACCTATAAGCTTTATATAGCTCTTGATAATACCACCAAACTGTCCATGAAAACAATGTGCCAGTTTACATATCCACAGGCAGCTTGAGAAGACCCCTTCATCAAAATTTTAAAAGCAATGTTTTAAAGATTCAGTATTTTGATAAGTAAACAATTTTTAACTGATTTAACTTTTACTTCTTAGCTATGTTTATTTAATACTTTTTAAAAATTTGGCTATCCTGTGAACTATCCTTTTGCAAAAGAGTTGTTCTTACATAGGTCACTTCATTTCTAAGTATTAACTGTACAATCCCATTAACAAAGATTGTTAAAAATCATTCACATACTAAATTTTTAAAAAATCATTAAAACAAAAAGTATATTAGGTTAAAATGTTTATAATTATGCTGCATAAAAGAAACTTAAGGTAAATGGTTGAGAACTGCATTGAAATAAAAGTGCAGAAGACAACATAGTGAAACAGAAAGACTGCAGGGGGAAAAGCCCTATATAACCAAGGTTCCTTTTATGTACGTGTTTACACACTGTATTCTAAGTTTTCAGTTTAACCCCGTGTAATTTTGCCTCTTTAAGTAAAAAAGCTAAGCTTTTCAATAATCCACGCATTTTAACCAGTTTGAGTAGCCATAAAAGTTTTATTGCCAAGGTCAAGAAGGGGTTAAATGTATAAGACTCAAGATAATATTTCGGTTTACAGTGAATTACATCACAATGTCTAGCCACATTCACTGTTCTACACTCTTAACTAATCTTACTACCTTCGCTTAAAAAACCTGCACAATGGGAATAATTTAGACAGCGTTTTGGGGGTCAAAGAAACAAGGATCTAGGAATATAAGTAAATACTTCCTCTTCTTAGCAACATGAAAAAAAATAAAAATGCTGACTTACTAGTTGAATGGATAAAAGTAAAGGTGATAATCATTTTATTACACTTTCTAACAGGATGCTTAAGTGTTAAATGTAGGATCACTTTCTCCTTTATCATTTCTCTTTTATTATGTCTGCTTTCTGGTCAGGAGTTAGCTGTTAACATTTATAAGGGTAATAATGTTATCATTTCTACCTCTTGGAAGAATACTATTACAATGTAGTCTACATATTTTGTTTTCCTGCAATTGTTCAGAGCACTTATTCTTATCTTGTCAGTTGGAAGATTTGAAGGAAATAATTTTAACACTTAGAGCCTTGAAAATGTGTATTAGAGTCCCATAAACATTTGTTTGAAAAAATTCACAGAAACATGCACTTTCCAAAAAAAAGGAAGCCAAATAATGACTAAAACATATTCACGGGTTGCATCAGAAGGTGATGATGTAAGGGGTTGTCTCCTCTCATAATCTCCATTAACTTCTTGAAGCAAAATTATGATCTTTCATAAGGACAACGACATTTCCTCAAACTACATAAAGTATGGATAAAAGCATCTTTGTAAATGCCACTCTTACTGATCTATAACATAAAATCTAAATATGAGTGCTATGCAATACCTGTTTAAGACAATTTCCCCCCTGCTCTTTCCCCAACCAAATTGTTGCCCTTAAGAAGCTTCCCCCATATATAATGTGAGAGCCACCACTGGATATATGAAAATGTTTTCACTAATAAATATAATAATATATATAAACAAGTTTTACCTCTCCTTGGAGTGACCTTAAAATAATATATATAATCTTCTAGGTGAAGCTTTTCCAATCACCTCTCAGACATAATTAGTGGACCCTCTCCTACGCTTCCATAAAAATAACACAAAAATGGCAATCATTAAATTGTATTATAGTTAGCTGTGTATGCACCTGTCTCTGGCTCAACTTCAAATTCCCTCAAGGCAAGTACAGGATAGTATTCAAATTTATTTATGCTCTCCATGTAATAGAGTAAGACTTTAGTAAATATTTTGCTAAATGAATTTATTTGTTTATAATACAGGTGCTTACTTTGGAATTTTAAAACAGGCTAATGGTGTTATGCATGAGCAATAAAACAAATTTTGATAATTGCTTTCCTAAAATGTTCATCCTAAAAGCAATAATAATCAAAAGAAACACACTAATAAAAGGATATGAATTTATATCAAGGAAAATTTTTCAAGGTTATAAGAATATAAAAAGTGAAGTTTATGTTGAATAGGGCATTATAAATTACCCATAATCCAATTTGGCTTAGTTATTCTGTAGCATTTAAATTCTGAAAGTGAAAAAATGTTAAATTCAAATTAAGAAACCAATCTAATAGCAGACCTACTAAAACATTAAGTTGTAATTCATTCTAATGAATAGAAACGGAACATACCATAGCACAATTATCTACTACCCTTGGAACAACAATAGCACATATAATGAGCTTAATAGCTGATATGTATTGGTTATTTATTATGTACCAATCACTGTCATAAGGACTTTACACAGATCAGTTGTCTTGTTCCTCAAAAACCCAATCTTCATCATAATTTTACAGTTGAGGAAATAAAAATGATAGTCCCTTTACATTAATAAAGTTTCTCATTCCTAAAAGACCTCTGCCACTGCTTCATAGTATTTTTAGTCTTCAACCACAGACTCTTCTGAAGTTTTCATTTCATCCTATTGCTGAAGTTACCCAATAAAGAAAGAAAAATTATGAGTTTAGTTATCACTTGCCCTAAAATGGCTGTATTCTTATTTTTCAGTTAAGAAAGTGTATATGCAGTAGCTTGCAAAAATTATTCTAAAATCTAATTATAAAATTTATAAACTCAGTAATATTGTTTTCCATGCATACAGTGATGTGAATTGATAATTAAATTCAAATAATCTATTTTACACTTTTAAATTTTTGCCAACCCAGTGTAGGTCACTGAATTTCACAATAGGGTTGAAAATTAGAACAATGGTGTGAGATTAAACAAAATATACCATATGAATCAAAGTATTCCTTTATTAAAATACATGCATGGCTAAATTTCACACAGAGCTAGTGTAATTACATAATGGTTTTCTTCTCAATATCTTAGAACTTAGAAAGATGTAAGGGCACTAAGAGTTTAAGTAAAGAGAATACAGGCCATTTAATACAGTGTAACACTATACTCCTGGACATTCTGGGCCTGACACTCAAAGCTAATTCTTTCAGTTTATGGACTTTTGCTGAGTGTCCCCTGATCTGATTCTCCTAGTATGTCTTCAATCCCCCCAACCATGAGCTCTAAGAACCTGTCTGATCAGGGGCAGAAAGCAAAACCTATAAAGAGATCCCGAAGTGGCAAATCTCACGTGGAAAGTGCTGCATGGGTGCATATGAATCACTAGAAAAACTTAATACCACACTGAGAGGTAAGAATAATAAAGCAAACAAATAAGGAAAGACAATTAGAATACAGGCTCTCTCACTTTACTGATACTTGATCGCTTTCCCAATTTTATTAAAGCTTTCTTTTGTAGCAGAACAACCTGATCCTATAGACCACAGACTTCAAGTTTACTAAAGACCTTTCCATACAAGTCTAAATAGACTCCACTTCATATCAGGTACAGATAAACCACCTCATTCAACAGAGAATAGTATTGAAATAGAGATTAAATTACCAGAATAGGAACATAAGTAAAAACACTAGCGTAGTTGAATCAACAGCCAAGAGTTCCTGACTTCTAACTTAAATCAAGTTTAAGTGAATATCAATATTTTCAAATTCACAAGTTATAAAGCTTATCTAATCAATGGCAATTTATTAATTTTACTAATACTACTTGTTTTAGGGCTCCAGAACTTTCTGAAGTTAAATTAACTAAGAGGTAATGAATATCAACATTTAATTAGTATGAGAATTTTATCTTACACTAATCTCCCTTTATTTATCCTCCCTTATGTCCCTTCCCCTTCAATAAGAAGGACTAACATGAAAATCATTCTGATTATGAATAAGTACAGCACCAAAAGTTTGCCTTGTGTGGTTACAGAAACCCCCATTTTCCATAATACACTGCAGAGGTTGAGAAAAGTAAAAAAAAAAAAGACCGTCTTACCTTTAGTGTGATATCACAGAGCTCTCCATTCTCATAAAACCGAAGAAGAGACCCATGGAAATCTTTCCAAGCTTCATGTGCTTCGAAGATAAAGGAGTCTTCTCCGTCACCATCACTAACTGAAGATCTGTTCTTTATTTGCTGGTGCTGTTGCCTTTTCCCCTTTGTGAATTGATTCCTAGCATGTTTTGCATTCACAGATTCCGAAGCCATTTGCAACACTCTTCTTTTAATAGCGCCGTCTTCTCAAACATCCCATTTATTCTGTTGTAAAGGGTGGGGAGAAGGTAGATGCAGCTCACTAAACTTCAGACATTTTCAAAACCCACTCAACTGACATTGTCCAGTTTGTTGAGACTGAAAAATCAACAACAAAACACACATAGAGACAGACCAAAAAAAAAAGAAAAAGACTTATCAGTAATTATAGTTAAAACTATAAAANCTGTGCTTCATATTGGTTCACATACTTTTCCCATATGAAACATACTCACAAACCTGACTTCCACTATGTTGTATTGGTGTAATCAATTTTTTTTTTAAATATAGAAGCAAGTTTTAACCTATAACTCTTATTTTAATATTTTAAGGTTTCACCTCTAGATCTAGAGTATGTTTGGTCTACTATGCTTTTGAATCTTGATTTGGTCACAGATTAGCGATTCTTCTGTTTTAGGATATCTAAAAATTTGGAAATCAACTCATTTAAAACATTCTGAACAGGATAGTCAACATTTACTAAGTCACATTAGTAAAAAAATCTTCCCTCTCCTTTAGACTGACCCATCTATGACATATATTTTACCTTATTGTAGGTAAAAATTTTAAATATTAATGCTCATAATGGTAAAAAATAATGAATAGAAGTTGAGGAATATTTTCTTAACATGTTAAAATACATAAACCTTAATTCTAAAGCCAGTATCTTCATAGGGAAACACTAGAGACATTTCCATTAATATCAGGAAAAAGCCAGAAACACCTATCTCTGTTACTATTCACACTGTATTAGATTATTAGCCAATGCAATTAGACAGGAAAAACCAATTAGAAGCATAAGAATGTGTGGAAAAACTGGCAAAAGTTGAATAAGGTCTACAGATTAATTAATGGCTTTGTATCAGTGTTAATTTCCTGGTTTCAGTAACTGTACTATGATGGGGTAAGATGTCATCATTATGGGAGCTGGGTGAAGAGTGTACAGCAGGATTTCTCTATCTCAGCACTACTGACATTTAGGGCCAGATAATTCTTTGCTGTGGGAGACTTTCTTATGCATTACAGGACCTTTAGGAGCATCCTTGGCCTTTCCCAACTAGATGCCAGCAGCAATTCCACCAACCTACCCGCCCCCAACCCCAGCAAAATGCCCCCAGACATTGCCAAGTGTTTCACTGAGGGAACAAAATCACCTCCAGTTGAGAACCACAGATTCACAGGAGTTCTACTATTTTTGTAATTTCTCTAAAAATCTAAAATTATTTCAAAATAAAGTTAAAAAAAAATCAACGCTCAGGTGTAAGTGAAAACTATGGACTTTATCAGACATGATTCCATTTAATTCTCAAGAAAATATCAAAAGTTATAACAAAGTATCACATTGGACACTTTAACAAAGTGTGTTTAAGAAGACATTTCAAGTTCCTAGAAATGTAAAAAGTAAAAAACTGTCCCTTTGAATTATAGGAAGCTTTCTTAATTTTCTACCAACAAATCAGAAATGTTCAAGCTGATCTACCTCTTTGTGTTCATTGATGCCTTCATCATCCATTTATTAGTCAGAGGATCAAACATCTCCATGCTGCCTAAATGTTCATTTCCATCATGTCCACCCACTGCATACACTTTACCTGTCAAACAGAAGTATTTTCATTCAATTCCAAATCAACTGATAGTTATTTATAGTTACAATCAATATATAATTAGAAGAACATAATAATTCTCAACAAGTCTTCTTCTGTTCAACATTATGATCAATGTCACTTCCATAGTCGAGTGAAAATNTATATATATATATATATATATATATATATATATATATATGGCTATATAAATCAATTGAAAAGAGAACAAGGAACTTGGTAGTTTTTATGCTAAATGTCACATCAACTACCTACCTCAGCAAAATACAGGTGATCCTTGAAGAAGTGGGGGTTAGAGGCGCCACCTCCCATGTGCAGTTGAAAACCCATGTATAACTCTAAAGTCGGCGCTTCACATTCAATCTACCACAGACCAAAAACAGTATTTTTGATTTGCAGTTGGGAATCCGCAGTTGGGAATGAGAAAATACTGTCTTTGATCTATGTTTGGTTGAATTACACAGATGAGAAATCCGTGGATACGAAAGGCCAACTATATTTACTGAAAAAAAATCTACATATAAGTGGACCAACCCAGAACAAACCCATGTTGTTCAAGGGTCAACTGTATTTTATATTAGTAAAGGAACTCCTTTAAAATCTAATTTGAAAATTCTGGGGAGATGGTGAGATAGAGAGCATCAGGAATTTGTCTCCCTACCAAGACGGCAATCACTCTGGCAGAATCTGTCTGGTGTAATTATCTTGGAACTCTGAAGCCTGCTGAAGGCTTGCAACTTTTCCAGGAGAAGATATGGATGATAAATTACAGTTAATTTTGGTCAATTTTAGCTCTTAGGAAAGTAGCAGCTGGCCATTCCACACGCCCAGCCATGTGACGAGCAGCTGTTCATGTGTTCCTGGAGTAGCTTGCACAGTTTGCAGGAGCCATGGTGGACAAAAAGGATCCTGTTCTTCCAATATCAGGGGTCTCTGCTCTAATGGCTGACTGCTGTTTGTGATCACAGAGGTGTAAATGAAGAGGTGGGTGGCCATTTTTTTGCACCTCCTCCCCCTGTTGCAGACCCCTCCCCTTCAGCTGAAGTTACTTTCCAGGGGATTTAAAAGGCTAGTGTCATTCACCACCTTCGTTTTATGCTTTTTCCTCTTTAGGGAGCAAGACACTAAAGACTTAAGATATTTATAAAACAACTGCATATATAAGGAATACTAGAAAGTGACAGTGCACGCCCAGGAAAAGACATGGAAAAGACAAGCCTCAAAGACATATTCATGATGAAATTTAAAGTACGTACACGAAAAGCAATATAATCACAAGCTACTCTAAACCCTAAGGGGATAAATCAGCCATAGCATAAGATATAAAGGCAGACAACATCATCAATACCAACATTACCATCACCCAAAACATTACTATCATCATCATCATCATCATCATCATAGAAAACACTACTATCTGCCAGTCACTGTTTTAAGTGCTTTATGCGTATCAAATCATTTAGTTCTCACTACAACTCCATAAGGCAGCTACTTTTATTTTGCCCTTTTTACCAATAAGAAAACTGAGACACAATGAGATGGATTGGAGCCAGGATTCGAACCTAGGCAGCAGGGCTCCAAGGGTCTGCGATGTTACCACTGCCATACTCTTCAAAGCATTTGGCAAGTGAAATAGAATTACAGAACACCACCAAGAAAAAAATATATAAAGTAATCAAGGTCCCTATCTTCTCCTTCTAAAACCAGCTACTCTAATTCTCCTATTTCTGCAAGTAGCAACACCATTTTTTTCACTTGTCCTATTTCAAAACCTGAGCCATATCTGACTCTTCTCTAACTTGTATAGCCTTAATCAGTTTCAATTCCTGATTTCTACTTGGGAAAAGCTCCCTCCCATTCATCCCTTTTCTCCTATTTTCATTGAACTCTCCTCTCTTTCTTTGTACTCTAATTCAGATCCACATATCTTTCCTGGATTATATTGAGTTGTCGGAAAAGTCATGACGCAGTTTTCTATGTTTTTCGTTGCAAAAATGTGTCATGACTTTTCCAACAACCCAATAATAGCCACCATTAACAAATCATCATGCCCTTCCCTGAACATGCCTAAACATCTATCAAGGGCAATGGTGCCAGATTTACCTACGTGTCACCTCCAAACTCCTTACTGTATGTAGTTCAAAAAGCTTATCCTGGCATCCAAGACACTCCTTGCTCTGACTCCAGCCTACTGTCCAGTCTTTTCCTCCATTAATTTTTGATGTAAAGTAGGGCAAAGGAGGGAAAAGACTACTAATTAAACCACTACGTGTCATATATTTGCCAGAAATCTTACATACCCTCTCTCATTTACCGTATTTCCCCATGTATAAGGCGCACAATTTTTGAAAAATTTGGGGTCCAAAAACTGTAGGTGCATCTTATACAGTGGTTGTAGATTTTTTACTTGCATTTCCAGCTTTTTCGCACTTGTTGTCTTGGCGCTCATTGTTTCACACTTGTTACCAGTATATTAAGGTAGGTTACGTTTTGCCACGTTCTGCCCAGAAATGGCTCAGAAAAGATTTTTGTACAGTGCTGAATTCAAGTTAAAAGTGATCCAGTTTGCAAAAGTGAATGGAAACCGTGCTGCTGAACGTTAAGTTTGGTCCTCCTCCAACTGAGAAAACAATTCAAGACTGGCTACGGGAAGAAGAAACCCTACTGAAAACGCCACGGGAAGAAGGCCATGAGAGGCAATATATGAAGACAGTGATTCGTCATCAGGCACAGATGAGGACAAGCTAATGGTTGGGAGTTTTGACAGTGATGAGTTGTATGAATTTTATGGTGAATAAAACTTGAGTTCAATAACTTTATGTAATACATTTTTTTTCCAATTTCGGGCCCCAAAATTAAGGTGCGTCTTATACATGGGAGCATCTTATACATGGGGAAATACGGTACATTATAGATGGCCTAAACATCCCTGATGTGGGAGCTAGGGTTTCAATTCAACTCTGATAAAGCCCATTCTTTTCCTACCATATCACAGGCTTCACTATTCCATTTCCCTCAAATATATGTGTAAGTATTCACATTATTCCTTGTGGGGCAATGATGTGAAGGCCCAGCTTAAATGATGCTTCTTTCACGAAGCCTCCTCTAGATTCTCCCAATGAGATGTCGTCCCCCTTCTGTGAATCCCAGTAGTACTTTGTACCTCTTGGACTCATTCATTTACCTTTACTTGTGTTTTGGGCTTATCGGCTTAATAGTGTGAATTCTTTGAGAAGACGATGTCTTAACAACATCTACGTATCTTACCCACATGAGCCTGGATCATGAGTGAATAAATCAATGTGATTTTTGTGGGTTGGCTGTTTTCCCCACCAATATAAAATAAACTGGGTCAACTCTTCATTACTGGTTAGTCTAATGAGTCTTCTTTCATTTAGAACTTTCATCATACCATATGTTGTGCCCTAAGTGCATGAGTATTATGATGGCCAGCATCACTATATCTTATTTTTTTTAACTCTTACTAGGTTTAAA